CGGAAGAGATCATTCAGGAGTTTCGCCAGTGGGGTCAGCCAATTTCTGAGGTGTCCAGGCAGAAGCCTTTGAGCAGCTACACGGGTGTCATCGACGATTTGCTGTGTCAGTGAGAAATGGAGTTCACACCACCGATCTTGACTAGTAGTTCCAGTGGTTCTGCTAGGGGGAGGGTGAGGAGTAGGAGTCCAAATCAAACACCAAGTATGGCAGTAGTGCCCAGCCTCAGGACTGGAAGTGCCCCTGCCATAAGCCCCAGTACTGAGACAGTAACTTCCAATACCCGATCCTCGGTTGAAAGGGTTCCTTTGTTAAGGGCAAATAGGCCTAGGAACTTAGGTCCCTCCCTTGACACAGCAACCCCAGCCTTGGGAGCGCAGTCACCGCATTACTCCCAGACCAATGTGGATGCCAGATCCTTGCATGTGGGCGCCACGCCAGAACAGGTGATAGGTGTTGTGCATGAGGTTGCATCGGAAGCCGAACGCAGGCACTTAAATGTGTTAGGGGAGGTCCAGGCAAGGCACGAGCATGACAGAAACTCCATAACTTCCGAAGCCATTGCCCAACTTGAGCACCAAAGGTTGCAATATGAGGGTCAACTTAGGGAATTGGGTATACGACTTGAGCAGGAGACTTTGCGCAGGGCCACTGCCGAAAGGTTAGTAAACTCCCTGCAGCAGGAAGCTCAAAGCTATCAACATCGAGCGGATGCCAAGTTTGCCCAAATGTCTGAAACGATCCAATCCCTGAGCCAAGAGCTTCAGCACATTAAAGCCTGGCAAGCGCAAGGCTCCCCCGAGCTTTCGCCCAGCGGCCGTGCAGCGGTTAACGCGCCGGCGCGCACAGCCCAGATGCCTACTGTGCCACGAGGTGATGTGTTTTCAAGGTTGGCCAAGACTTTTGATGAGTCCTTGTACCTTGAGAGCTCGCTGGATTTTCAGGGAAGGGTTCCGCGTGAAGTGGTTGCGCAAGAAGGGCTCCAGAACCCTTCGGCCGAATTGGCCGTTTCTCAGGGAAAACCCGAGATTCCGCCGGGACCCCCACCGAAGCAGTCTTCCAGCAGCTCCGCCCAGGTCCCAGAGGAGACCCTGCAGCAATTGATAGGTGCCGTTAGCATCCTTCAGGAGAAAGTCCAGTCACTTTCCTCTCCTGCACATAAGGGCAACAAGAGCTCAAGCTCGAGTGCAGCATCCATCAAAGGTCGCACTTCGAGCAGCAGTTCAGACTCAGAGGAGCTTGTTGAGGACTTTAGCCAACCTAGAAAACCCGTTGCGAGTCATGCGGATCCTTATGAGGCAGAGAAGCAAACCATGAGAACGAAGCATTACGACAAAATCAAGATCACTCACTTTCCCAAATCAGCAGCGGATCTTCGAAGCTTCCGTAATCAGCTAATGGCTAGCGCTGCCCAATTCTGCAAGGGTTCAGAAGCTGGGCTACATGCATGGCTAAAGGAGGCAGAGGAATGCTCGGCTGCAGACCTCAACAAGTCTTCATCGTTCCCAGTGCTTGACAGGGTTCTTGCAGCCAAGTTGATTGAGCAGGCAAAGGGTTCTCAGTTTGCGTTGGAGTTTCAGTCGATTCAGGAGAAGGCGCTAAAACGGGGATTTCAGCCGAAAGGCCGAGTGCTATTGCATACTATCGTCAAGCGCTTCAAGCTTCAGAAGGATCGTGGAACAACCCTGACGCAACAGCACCTTCTGGGAATCAAACTTGCGGGATCTTCAACTGCTCAGCTCGAGGAGTTTAAGAATCGGGTTGATTATGTTTTGGGTGCTTTAGAAGAGGACGAGATGCCTTCAGAGAGTGCAATGCGCTCATTCCTGTATGAGCAAGTCAAGAACGTCCCAAAGCTCCAAATTCAGATTGACAAGTTCCGATCAGCATCAGTTGGTTCGTCAATGCGCTCATTCAAGTGGTTGTACCACAAGCTCGCTGAAGTCATTGATGAGGCCCATCACGACAGCAATCACGCGTCCATTACTGCTAGTTTGTCTGCAAAGGCTTCAGGTGCCGCAGCAAAGGTTGAGGATAAGCCTGAAAAGCCTGCTAAGCCCAACAAGCCGAGCAAGCCGGAGAAGCCCGACAAACCGAATCCAAAGGCAACCCCTGCAACGCCCATTGCACCAGCGCCTAAGGCAAATCCGAAGGGTAAAGGAGAGGGCAAGTCATCGGAGCCAAAGGCCAAGGCACCTATGTCTAAGGAAGAGAAGGCGAAAACGCCATGTCTTTTCTTTCCTACTGGCACATGCTTTAGGAACAACTGCCCGTACCTCCATGACGCCAACAACCCTCACCCTAATCCCAAAACTGGTGCCAAAGCGAAGGCCAAGTCCAGCACGCCTTCAAAAGCTTCAGCCGCGTGTGCAATCGTTGCATCTACCGTTGGCCATGCCCAGGGTGACCGTGCAGTGAATTGTGCGCCTGAGCCGGGTTGTGCAAGTAAGGTTGGGAATGGGCTAAGCAGTTGCAGGAAAGTTGCCAAATCCGCTTTGTTTGGGAGGTCGCTTGGCACTCGAATGTTGGCCTTGATGACGGCTACCCTTTCTGCACCCTCCGTTCCATGCCATCCGCAGTTCGTTTCCCACGGTAATGGGACAGCCACGGTTAGCTGGTTGGGGGATACAGGCGCTGGAAGGTACATTGGTTCGCTAACTGATGTGCAAAATGAGCCGAGTCTGAGCGATAATATCGCTGCCACTGGAAATCCAGTGCTGTTCTCAACAGGTGGTGGGGACAGGCCGTCAACAGATTCAGTGAAAGTTCAGGGTGATTTGGTCACAAATGATGAAGTGTACTTGTTAGAGGGGAGTCCTTGGGCAATGTGCATTGGAGACCAAGTCAACTCTAAGGGAAAGGCGTTCCTGTGGTTGCCTGATGGGTCAGGTCAAGCCAAGCCTTTCTTCGTAGAGGACACTGATTCGTTGCGCGTGCATTGCCCAACTGCCAACCGCCGCTATGCTGATGAGCTCCACCAGAATGTCCCTATCTTTAAGGAAATCATTCGCATCTCCCACATGCCTGCGTCCGCAGATTCACCCGAACCGGCCTCAGCGGCTTCGGATCCTGAACCTCCCTGTGCAGCGGTTGACGCGCCAGGAGAGGAAGCAGTAGAGGTGGAAGAGGACGATGCGCGTACAAAAGATGAAAGGCTAAAGGAGATTGCAAGGAGTGTTGAGCACCAGCTAACGCACATTCCTAAGAACAAGTTTTGCAAAACATGCATGCGCTCCAAGCAAGATGCGTTGCCAGCACGTGCACTTCCGATTGAACATTCTTTGACGGACGGTGAAGCAAGTGAGTCATTTGGTGACCGCCTGCATGTTGACCATGTAATCGTCGCCAAAGGCCGTATGGACAGGAACCTGTTTGGTTTGCATGGGGAGAGAGTTTTTCTCGTAGCTGTTGATGACCACACGGGGTTCATGCTGGCGTACCCTTCACGTTCAAAGTCGAGTGGCGACAGCGCTAAAGCCTTGCGCCACTTCATTGGTCGTCGCAATGCCGTTGAGCTTCACAGTGATAATTCGCTTGAGCTTGAGGCTGCAGCGGATGAGCTAAAGCTCGTCCACCCTACGACAATTCCATACCGACACACTTCAATCATCAATAGAAGGATTCGGACCTTAGAGGACGTTTCCCGATGTGCTTTGTGCCAGGCTGGTCAAGTTAAGAGCTTATGGCCACTTGCCGTCCAGTACGCAGCAACCGCGTTATCCCTTGGAGAACCTTGGGAGGCATTGCATGGCGCACCGTTCTCTGGAAACAAGTTCCCTTTCGGTTCCTTGGTGTACTTTAGGCCCCAAGCCAAAGTCACTAAGAAGGTTGAGTTAAAGACTGTAGCCGGGATCTTTGTTGGTTGGAGGGTTGAGCCGGGATGTGGTTTTAAGAAAGCCTACAAAGTTCTTTCGCTGGAGCAGGTCAAAGACCTGTTGCTGGGAAAGGTTGAGGTAACCCCTCAAACGGCCATGACTGTCTACCAGGATGAGGTCCGCTATCCACTAGCGGAACTCAAAGACAAGGGTGAACTCAGGTTAAACCTCCAAGAGATGACCCTGGATCCTGAGGACTACCCCGTAGATGAAACCATCGAGGGGAGAGTCATGAGCCTCACCATCCCAGAACACCCAGCTGAGAGTAAAGCCTTGACAGGTAATTTCCGAATCACCGAAGCACGTGTTCTTAAGCACGGGCCCACTCCTGAATGCAACGCTTGCGAAGGATTGCCAGTTGAGCATTCTAAGGAATGTCGGGATAGATTCGCTACTTTGTTGGCCGAGAAACTGCATGAATTTCCAGATGGAGTGGACCGCAACCATGACTCGTGGGTGTTAGAGGGCGAGACACTGACTAGGTATCATGTGCAGCAAAGGAAGCACTTGTTTACGCCTAAAAAGGTTAAAGGTATCCCAGTTCCGCCTGAAAACCTCCTACCTCACAGAGAAACGTTCCTCACCTTGGCCATTCCAACTGGGGTCCTTTTATTTTGGGTTTGGGGTGCCTGAGAACCCCCCAGACTTTGCTGCTAGTTCGTGAGCATTGGCAAGCTGATTCACGCTGGCGAAATGTAATACTGATAGACATGCTCTGCAGGCTCTGCAGTTATTGCTCAAACTGGCTGATGTTTTGGAAAGATGATGATAATTGATTTCTTTGCTATGTCATGAAAAAGAGGGGCGTTTGAGCCGATTTCACAGGCGCCCCACATGCAGTAGCGTTGTTGTTGGCAATACATCGGTGTGCTTTTGCAGTGACACAACGTTTTTTCTTTGCACTACTAGCATACGTCGGTAAAACTGCTTTCTTCTTGAGAAATGAACCCGGATGGAATCACAGCCGTTTCCCAATCAAATCAGTTTCTTGCGCAGCTTGGTTGATTTGCAGCATGTTCGCGTGTGCAAAGTGCATTTTCGGATGAGCATTGCTATTGTTTGTCAAACTTTTCGACGACAGTTCTGAGGGAAATTTCAGAAGTAGGAAGCTTGCGAGCCATCGACATGTTTCAACCACAGCAGCCGGAACGTCGGAGTGAGCTACTCTCGAATGTTTTCTGGTTGGTGGCGCGGAATTCTCAGCGGCAGCGTGTGCGGCATGCTGCAACTGGAGCGGAGGAGCAGCAGGGCGGCGAGCCCTGTGAGGCTGAGCAGCGGCAAGCAAGAAACATCTTGAAACAGGAATCTGTGGTGACTCAAGTGTGCAGAAGAGTTTTTCGGAAGGCTCAAAGGGACAATGCGGCGCCAAATTTCCAAAAGAGTGGGTTGGTCGGCAAGCAGATCGAAAGAATTTGGAATGCCTTGGTGGAAGGAACTTCAGAAGAAGTCGCGACAGCCGTGTTTACGGGGGCAGAGCAGACAGTTGGTGTTGTCACTGGCCTTGCGCGTGTATCCATACAGCATCTGGAATATGGTCCTTTGGCTATTCTTGATTGGGAAGAGAGATTTGCTTGGGAGTATTTTAACAGACTTCCTTTGATATTCTTGAAAGTGGAGCAAATCTGCAGTCTTCTTGACGTGGATGCAAACAGGAGGAAGGTGAGTTGGTCATCCCAAAGACCCCATATGATATCTAGCATTCATCCTGGCCTCAAAGACGAACTTGTGCGACTCCCCCAAGTGCAAGCTTTTCTCAGGGAGCAAGATGTGGAGGAGGAACATGTGTCATGTTTTGCCTTGCAAGTGTGGCAGCCTGTTGCTTATCTGTTGCCGATGGGGCGGATGAGTTTTTTTGGCATCGGCGGTATGCTTAGAAATCTGCCGCGGGGAAGTCCTGCAGAGTTGAGAGCGGCATGGCGCGAAGCTTGCAGATTTCATGTTGCAGACGCTCGCGGCGACCAAGACGACAACCGCGGGGTCCTGCAAAATCCTCATAGCCTGCGAGTTTGGGCAGGGCATATTCGTGCATGGGCCGTTCACGTGTTACATGGTCGTGCAAACAATCAAAATCAGGATCCGGATGAGCAGAGATTTCTGTTGGAAACATGTGTCCAGATTTTCGAGCATGAAGCAGACAATCTGGAAGCCCACCATGGGGCCTCTCCGTGGATGGAAGGTTTCGGTAGATTCGGGTTTCAGAGGCGTTACAAGATGATTCAGCTCTTGAGATTGGTTCTATTAGTCCGGGACATCAGGACGGCCACGAAGACGAAGGAAGTCTTGATCAGTGCTTTGCGAGCAGTTTTTCCGCCAGAGGCTTTGGAGTATCTACAAAGCATGATTGCTGATGTTGATGAGGCTGGAAATGGAATCGTTCCGTCCAAGGCAGTTCTTTACAACATGCGTTTTGTTGTTGACCTAAGCTTGATGTTGCACATGAGAACTGTTTTGCGTGCAAACTTTCTGCAAGAATTCAACAATGACGACATCATGTGGTACAACCATGCTCCTGCAGTTTATTTGCTTGCAGATTCGAGTCCGCAGGGTGGAAAGAACTTGCTGAACTCCGAGTATACCATGGTTCTAGCAGAGGATATTTTGGAATTGGCGAAGATTCAAGTGGCTATACGGGAGACTTTGCAAGCACTGTCGCGGGAGGATCTTCAGGAGCACGAGCTAAAGAACTTTCTGGAAGAGCATGATGCATTGCTGGAAGCTGGTTGCAAACTTTTTCGGCACCATGCAAATATACCCGTTGTTCTGGGGTCCGGGCATGCAGGTCTAGTGCATGAGTTTGTTGCCTTGCAGCATGCGGTGTTCATGGAAACAGGCTGTTCAAGAACATTGGCAAGCTGGAACCACTGTGTTGTATCAACTACGACAGATAGAGGGGTCGAAAAGGCGTTGAACAGGATGCAGCCGTTGTCTTTTGGCCAGGCTTTTCCTTACTTCACAGGTCCCCGAAACCAAGAAGGCCCAGGAAACATCGACTTGGAGTTCGAGGAGGACGGAGGCCATGTAGGACTTGCACCTCCGGTTGTTCCAGCAGTTGGCGTTCGAGACAACATGCTGCATGATCGTGCGAGAATCGATGAGGACGTGAGTTTGCATTTGTCGCATTCATTGGATGTTGCTGGAGCAATGCATTCCTTGCACAATATCAGCTTGGGTTTCTTGTCCAGTATGCGAAACTATGACACGTACTTCTGGCCAAAGTTGCAAGCCCTGACTCGTTTTCTGCATGCCCCGTACTATAGAGAGCGATTCTGTGAGAAGTGCTTGGTCGGGAATCTGGAACCGATGGGAGCGTTGCTGGAGTCATTCCCTTACAAGCTTGTGCAGTGGCGGTGGCTGACAATCACGGCTGTAGTCCCTCACCTTTTGCAGCTTGAGCATGTGTTGGTTGCAGGTTGGGATCCTGGGCGCATGGGCGTCAGAGTGGCGGCGGAGCAGCAGCGTGCCGAGGAGGATGAGTATCACAACATGTCTTGGGATCTTGTGCATGAAGCGATCAGAAGCACGGACTTTTGGGCTTGGCTCCGGATGTTGTCGATTCTTACCGCTATTATGAGTTACCTCGAGAGATGGTTCTTTGGTTGCGAGTGTCATTTCGAGGAGCCCACATTGCAGAATCTGATTCATGCAGTGCGTGTTGGAGTGCCACTGAATCGGCAAGACAATCGCGACCGTAGCAAGGTCGTGTGCCCATTTCGTCAGCGTCGGGGTCCAGAGCTTGCTAGCGGTGATTTTTTGAATATGGTGGAGACATTGTGTTTGGTGAGTTCGCAAGAGCTTGTATCGGTAGTGATTCCTGCCTGCAGTGAGCGAGGGCGAGCTAGAGTAGCCGAAGATTTCCAATGTGCGAGGCAGCACTTGTCCTTCCACTTGAAGGTGCAGTTCTCAGCTTGGTCTATGCTTCCCCGAGTTCTGGTCGGCGTCATGCACTCAGATGTGGAGAAGGCCCGTCATTGTGCGATCATGGCATTGAGTCAGTATTCGGATCTTCGGCCAGAACAACAGGAGCAAAGTCATTTCATTGTGAAATCGTTTCTGGATGCAGCAGGGCGGTTGAGGCCTTTGATGTGTCGTTTCATTGCTGGAGAATCCCTGATTTCCTTACCGCTGTTGCATTTCCATGTTGTGCGGCTGGGGCTCGTACCCATTGTCGAGATCACAGTGGAAGGCATGCATGCAGTGATACAGTCGGCGATCAAACGAGGAAGTCATCATTCAAGTATGCCTACAATATCACTTGCCAATCGTTGGTCGGAATTCTTGGATGCTTTGAGTGTACAGCACCGCTTCGAATGGTTTGCCAACACCTGCCTGCAAATCTATCACCCATTGAGAGCGGCTCCAGTTTTCGGGGTTGACTCACACCCGACGCTACGAGGAGCATACCCGGGTAACGAGAACCCCAACTTGTTGCATTTGTTGGGCTCAACCTTCAAGTGGACGAAATGTGTCAAAGGCCTCATTTATCGAAGTGACCGCAAATTGGCTTTACAGGATCTGCCAGGCATGGACAAGCCAAAGCCACCTCCCAAAGGCATTGTCGTTAAGGACGAGGAGGCCTTGTTGAATTTGGAAGCATTTCGAGCTTTCGTGGAAACCGTCGACAGAGATTGCTTCTATAGTGTACCTATCAAGCTTCATCTCCCCAACAATGGAATTTCTGAGCTGCGTGTTGTGCCTGCACATGAGCATATTCGTGTGGGTACTAGGGCGCAAGAGGTGGAGATGCCAAGCTGGTTGAAGAAGGAATGTGGGCTCAACGATGTGGGGTTAGAGTTTGAGGATGCAGAAGTGTTCGGATTGCCATCCACACATGCTCGGCTCACCCATCGGCAATGTGCTGATGCTGATCACTTCTTTTTTCAGCTGCTGTCCAAGCATCCTTCGAGATTGAAGCAGGATATCAATGCTTTCTCGTCCGGTGACGTCGCTGTGTCTCAGCATACATGCGTAAGCCTAGAGACTGCCGGTGGTGCCAAGGCCCCAAATGCAGAGTCAGCCATGAAAGCAGTCGTTGAGACATTGGCTTCCAACAGTTATGTGTCGATGAGTAGTAGTCATGCGCCCGAGGGAATGTGCGAGTGGATCTTGCCGGGAAACCAGGCGTCTCATCTGCGGAAGGCGTTGTTGTGGGAGCATGACGAGTTTGTACATTGTGTCGCAAATCATACAGCCCCCATTGATCATGATGTGAAGCAGTTGTTGGAGCATGCCGTCGAGTACAAAGCCACCCCTGGGTCATCGAATGTGTTGCCCCTGGCTGACTGCACGGAGGAAGAGCAGGCTTGTTTAAGAAAGGCGGATCCTGCTTACTTTTCCTTCGTTCCGAGTCTGTGCCTTGGCTGTCACGCAAATTCTTCTTGACTTATTGGTCTGCAGATTCCACGTACTTGTTCTAGAGTTGTAGACATCTCAGGTCTGGATACCAGATGACCCATGAAGCAACAGACATGCTTTCCTTTCAGCGATTCTTGAGAAATCCGAAGCCTTTGTTGACTGCCGACCAGGATGCCCCTTTGAAGGAGCAAACTACCTTCACGTTGCTGAGCTCTTTGTTTGCTGCAGGATGGAAGCTGCTTCGTGCCAGGCCCAAGGACAACATGCCTTTGCTCAATATCAACGTGGGGCCTGTGTCCCAACCCCAGCGGCTGATTCGTTTGTCGCCTGATGCTTCACACGTGGCCAGATCTTATTTGGTGTGTTTGGCTATGATTTGGAGCTCCAGTGATTTTCGGACTTTCCTGCGTGAGAACCAGATCCTTTCTGTGAAGCATGGGCAGGACGAGAAGTACTACGATAGACTGTTATCCGAGAATCCTGATAAGCTGCTGAAAGTTGACTTTGAGGTAGATGGAGGAGTCCTCGACCCACAGTCGTTGCGGGATTCTCGTGTCACAGCAGGTGGTCGTGGTCGTGGTGTTGGCAACAAAATGAGATTGCCGGAGTCTTTCCGATGGGGTGCCGTCAGCTTCAAATACCACCAGCCACCCAAGGGATCCCAGCATGGTTCCTTGCAGTGCGATTGTATGAGACGTAGCCACCGACGTACCAACCAGAAGGGACAGCCGATCATTTGCACATGGACTTGCAAGTTTGAGAACGAGGATGCCCGTCAAGAGCTGGTCCGTAGAATGAAGCATTGGGTTGTTCTGGGTTTGGATTGTGCCACACATGGCAAGCATCAAGACCTTAGAAAAGTCATCATGAACAAGTCCATGGATGAGATACCAGATGAAACTGCTTCGAATGCTGTGATGCCTTCTGAAGACAGGGATGCCACTGATATAGAAGGGGAATCAATGGTCCCTGTCCCTGAGTTTTTCGTGCCCGGGGAAGCCAGCAGCAGTAGTGCTTTGCCAGCACCAACGGCAAAGGCAACGGCCAAGGCAAAGCAAAAACAGAAAGCAAAGACAAAGGCAAAAGCCAGGGCCACACGTCAGCAGCCGGCCGAAGTTGTCGAGCCAGCTCCCAAGCGGGCACGGGTGCTTGAAGCACCTCAGTCGCCTCGAGACGAAGCGGCTTCGGATCCTCCCACATCGGACTCAGGCAGCAGCTCATCCAGTTCCAGATCCGGGCGAAGTTCAGGTACTGATGAATCAGGATCATCGTCCAGCTCCTCCTCTTCTTCGTGAGCAGAAGGAGTGTCTCAGTGTTTAATGCCGAAGTGTTCGTTGAACGGTTGCTTCCCGAAGATGGTTCTTGCAGCTTGATTCACAGTGGTGGTTTGCCAGAGACTGTGTTGACGTTTGTGTGCCGTGTGTGTCCGGTGTTTGATAATTGCGCTGCGCGTGAGTGTCTTCTGTATTTCAGGATTCAGTAGAGCAGAGCAGAGCAGAGCAGCAGAGCATGCGATGGATCGCTCGGCTCGGAGTCACTGGTCACACCTGTGCAGGACCATTCCGTGCGTGCTGGGCAGCCGGGCACATCTGCGAGGACCGAGTTGTCATGAATTGTGAGTGGTTGTACCCCTGCCGCTGTAGCCAGGGCTGCTGACCGACTGCAAAGCATGTATGAACGAACCTTTTGGGCAACATGATACATGGGTTGGAGGCTCAAATTTCAAGTAGACGTCAGGGCCAAGGTAAGGCGAACTTCGGCGGCACAAGGGCAGCAGTCCAACCATAAGGTCCAATCATATGGTGGCATAGGCAACATGTCCTACTTTTGAATAGGCTCCTTCAGCCAAAATAGGCAGCCAGTCACATAGGTAGAATTGAACCATGTCGGATCGGCGTCACCCTGCTCGTTGTATGAGCTGTAGAAGATCGCGGAGCCCTTTGATGAGGAGGCGATCACAAGGCCGGGAGTTGCCACCACCGCCGCCTGTGCCAAAAACTCCTCAGTCACGACGTCGATTGCTGCCCCCGCCGCCACCCCCTCCTTCTGCTTCTCCAATGGTTCCGTCTGGAGAGACTGGAGAGAGAAATTCGAGAAGTTCGTCACCGGGCAGACCGAACGTAATCCTGCGACCCCGTATGGATGGCATACCTGTGCCACACTTCCGGAAGGCCAGCAAGACGAAGAGACCTCGTTCGGAGCCTGTTCCTGAGGATCCCCCGGCCGTGCCGAAGAGGACAGCTGCAGGCGTGTTGATCAAGAAGATGCCGATCAAGGTCAAGCGTGAGCCTGAAGACGAGGCGAAGGCCAAGGCTGTTGGACCGAAGGTTGGCGTCGAAGAAGATGCCTGAGATGAAGCCACGGGGGCCACCGGCGCCGCCGCCGGTGCCAGTTGCGGCTCGAGCACGGTCACCGTCGAGAAGCTCAAGCTCCAGCTCTTTGCCAGTGAGGAGGATCGAGTCGGTGCGGGCGCCGGGGCAGCGGAGCTCGAGCTTTTGTGGTCCTGGTGAAGCAACGATGGCGGCTCCATGGTCAGAGTCAGTGCCAATGCTGCCGAGGCCACCGGCTGGGCCACCTGTGGCACTTGAGATTCTCGAGACGCGTGAGCTGGTAACCTGTGAGTGCTGCGGTACGAGATTTAGTTTGGAAGAGCTAGAGATGGCCTTGGTCTGGGAGGATGCTTAGGCGATGCTTCTAAATAAAACTCACTGTACAATATAATGCAGTGCCTACTTGAATAATGATTACTGATACTAGTAACTTGTATTACTTAGCTATTTGCGATTATTGTTATGATCATGATAACTTTTTTGTTATAAGAATAAGACTAAGACTAAAGTAATAAGAATAAGAATAAGAATAGACATATGATAACAGGATATAGGAACAACAATAAGACTAGTAGTAATAGCACTAGTACTAGCAATAGTACTAGTGACGGCAATAGCAAGAGTAATGGCAATAGTACTAGCAATAGTACTAGTTAGCAAGACCAATAAAAAACAACAGCAGCAGCAACAACAACAACAACAAGAAATGCAACAGTAGCACCAACAGCGCCAGAACACACAAGTGCACCCACGAGCGGCTGATATTGCTACAACTACTAGTACTACTACGACTACAACTAGGACTACTACACTACTACCACTACTACTACTACTACCACTACTGCTGCTGCAGGTGCTACTAGTACTAGACACTTCGCGACTTAAGTGCTGGGACTGCTGCTGTTCGATAGAGTCCGCCCAGGGCCCAGGACCGGAATTGCCATTCGGTGCAGAGTTGCCTTGTTTCACATGCATAGCAGCGAGCTGAAGCTGGAAAGAACACAGCTCGGGGGTTACCGGGGGTTCTTTGACTCCGAAATGGGGCATTCCAACTGTTGCGGCTGTTTTGGGGTGAACATAGGTGATTCAGGGCAATTCAGGGTGACTTTCGGCACAAACCCGAGCCAATGTAAAATCCATCTTTCTGGAATCAGAACCCCAGGGCCTAAGTGCATGGGCGCGGTGGGCCCCCACGAGGGTTCCACGAAGGTTTCCAGCCACGTTCCACGAAGCCCCACGAACCCCCTCGAAGATCCCACGAAGCCCCACGAAGGTTCCACGAAGCCCCACGAAGCCCCACGAAGCCCCACGAAGCCCCACGAAGCCCCACGAAGCCCCACGAAGCCCCACGATTGTGACCCTCATATAGGAATCCTGGTTGGAATGCCCCCTTTTGGAAATTCCACCAAATCCCCAAAATACCCTGCCTGCAGGATTTATGGGGCCTTCAGCTCCTTCCACGCAGTGGCGGAACAGCTCACGGTGGAGGCCTCCGGTTCGTGCGCCACAAAGCCATTCTGTCATGGGTTCAGCGGTTGCAGCCGGGGATCGATTGGGCGGAGCCTGATGCCACTTTTTGCAGCCTGGGGTTTGTAGCCTGAGCTTGAGCCTGAGCTTTTGTGTTAGTTTGCTGCGGCCAGGTTCTCGCCTGAAGCGTTCAACGTCCTCAAAGTCTCCAGGTCATGCGCATATGGGAACTTAGATGTGAGCAGTGGAAAAAGTTTCGCATAGTCCGCATCGCATAGTAGGTTTCAGCAGCACATCTTGCGATTGCCGTTTGCGAGGACTACAGGACGTTGCCGTTGTCCGTTGTCGGCCGTTGTTGTACATTGGCATAAGGCATTGAGCGTGGCTTGAAAGTTTTGAAAGCATTGACTTGTGACAGGTGTGTTGTGACCGACATGTTGAGGACTGGCTCCTGGCTTTATCCAAAGTTGCGCATTGAGTGCATTGACGCCTTGGCCTCGGCTCGTGAGTATTCAGTATTCGCTTCTTGACAATCTTGAGTCTTGAGTCGTGGCAATGATGGGTTGCGAAGCTGAGCCGCTGCTTGTGCCGTGTGCCCCATTGTGTTGGATTGTGTATACATTGTTGCAATCGACTGCTTGTTCTGAGGCGTGTATCTTACAGCATGGTATAGCAGTATAGCATGGCAAAGTGTCGAACAATGTGCATTGTCGCGGAGGTCATTGCTTTGTCGTGGTGTTGTGATTGTGATGACAGGTGACACGGCTTGGCATATGTCGGATTTCTTGTCGTGGTGGCACGGCAGGTGAAAGTGATCACACTGATACTTGGTAGTTGACACAAGAAACCTCGCCCTTGCCGGGCGTCCTTGGCGACTTCCATGCTGTTGTTGAGATAGTCCTGACCAGTTGTTACAAGCTTGGCTTGCGTGTTGCATTGTGCGTTGTTTGCTTGACTCGGCTCGGTGCTTCCTTGACTTGTCGAGTTGCGTGGGTACAGCTTGCTTGGCTTGGTGCTTGCGTTGGCTTGAAGACCGGAAGGTATTCTGCAGTGGCAGGCGTGCAGCAGCTTTGGTCGAGGAGTCGAGGATGGATGCGGTCGACACTGTCACTGTGCATTGATGCTGCTTTGGCTTGATCAGTTGCTTGGTGCACTGTTGATTGGGATGTTTTGCTTGCTTGCAGCAGGGTGCAACTGGTAACACACATGTGATATGTCCCTGAAGTTCTGATTTGTGCTCAGGCCTAGGCAGCTTCCGTGGAACTCCACCTTCGGGCTGGTAGTGACTTGCCAGCTTCAGGATGGGGGATGATGCAGTGGCAGCGATGACTGTCGACGACTTCTCGGACGGTGAGGTCCCGCCTCCGCCTGCGCCCTTTGGTGGAACTCCGCCCAGAAGAAGGAGGGCCAAGGACAAGGCGAAGCCTGCTCCGAGGCTCCAGGCCATCAGGGATGCATTGTCCAACAAGGGGCAGACGACCTCTTGCTTGGTATGTGATTGCCAGACATATCCGAAATCGAAGTTTTGCAAGGAACACAAGCGAGAGGCCGAGGCCTGTCGCAAAGACGCCGAGGATCAAGGCGAGCTCGAGTATTACAACCAACAAGCATCAAACGTGGAGTCTTTTCGGAAAATGATCCTGGAGTATATGGAGAAGAGCCCGAGCAGGGGCCCAGGGGCCAAACGCAACCGTTTCGATTGGACTACCTACAGGGAGAAAACATATTCCGGGAAGGCCGTCCGCAAAGGACAAAAAGAAGTGCCACTGCATTACGAGACTTGGTCGGCTTATTCAATTTTTCTGGTTGTGTTGCAGATCATCTTTGCAGTGTTGAGGCTGAAGACTAGGTTTCTCTTTCAAGATTGCAGAGACTATAGTCTGACCGTGTGCATTGCCATTTCATGCGAGGGCGAATCCAGGGCGAAGGGGGAAGTTTTATCATCGCTTATTCCGTTAGCCTGAACTCTGAGCCGAGTGCCGGGGCTCTGAGTCCGGAACCAAGGAGAAGTTCATGAAGTTCCAGCAGGAGGACCGAGGCCTGTCGTGGCAGGATGCCGACAAGCTTTGGGAAGATTACAAGGCAGATCCAGACCACGAGCGGGACGAACTGGGACCTCCTCAGAGCCAATTACGTCTTTACACTGCGACTGAAGACTTCCTGATCCGGGAGACGGTGAGTGGCTTCCAGCGTGAGAGAGTGTCAGGAGTCAAAGATGTGAAGAATCCGACTGAGAAGCAGGCCAAGGAGTTGGATGATCGTTTGGCCGAGCCGTTGCCAGGGTTTGAAGAGTTGCAGCTTGAGCATCACAGCGGCAAGACCAACTCGAAGTTTTTGCAGTCAGGCCCAGCTGTTGCTGTGCCGATACACGGAAGACCGAGTGCCGGCCGCATCCAGCCCGGTGCGGGGAAGGCGGGGAAGAAGGACAAGGAGATGGGTCGTCGCCGGGCAAAAGCCTATGACGAGGTGCTCAAGAAAGTTCGCGAGGCTGAGGTCCGGTTGCCCAGGACCCTCAAGCAGGCCGAGCAGAACTTCGAGCATTTCCAAGTGAACAACTCGGCGGACGACTACGAGCACTTCATCCGCTTGGTCGATGTCCGCATCCGGGTCTTGAAGTGGTTGGTTGAGATTACGGACGAAGCTCAGCTTCAGCAGCGGCTTGAGGGATTGGGTGATAGCGAGCGGAGCTTGTTGCCTGTCGACACGAAGTTCCTTCACTTGCCGAAGTACATCACCAACCATTGCCAGCAGATCCTGGCTATGGACACAGAGGACAAGATCGACGAGCTGAAGGACTACGGCATCGCCTCATCCCAATTGCTAGCTTCTTGGCTCGACTTGGCACCTTAGCCATAGGGCCATAACCCATCGTCCTCTAAGTTCTACAATCCATGTAAATGTAGCACAAATTACTACCAGATCCTAAAACCTTAGACTGGTTCAAACAAACCATGTTTAGTCGACAACATCGTCTTCCTGCAGTGCGCAGATTGGGAGTGTCAGCGGATTCGCCAAGGCCCCAGGCTCTGTAATTGGGTGAGCTCAGCAGACAATCACTGATTATGTAGCTCTTTCACAAAGCATCTTCTTCGAGCTTGCAATCTTCATCCCAAGTCAAGAGGCTAGTTTCATCGTAGGTGATGGTACTTGCCATTTCAAGGTCACTCTTGGGAAGTGTTGTGCTAGCAGTTGTGTGTGGACATTGCATGTTTTGTTTTTTTCGCTTGTTGTGGATGGCTGAGCAGAGCTGAACACTGTGGTTTGTGACTCGTCACAGTAATGCGTATCATCTGATCACCCGAGGCCCAGCTGGCAACAGGAACAGAGCGTGGCGTGTCGGATTTGCAGGCGGCCAAGGTGTCCAGAGAGAAGAACGAAGCGAGAATGGCCAAAGCGGATGCAAAGAAAGCACAGTTGCAAAAGAGGAAGGAAGAGAACCAGGCCAAGACAGCGGAGCAGAAGGCAGAGGAGGCTGCCCGTGCGAAGCGGGCAAAAGTGCCGAACCGTCTCGACAAACTGCCTGCCACTTCTCTCAGGGACGTCATGGGTGTCGGGCAGGGTGCATTCGAGCATTTGGACGGGACGAAGCCCTTCGTGGTCCGTGCTGCGTTGAAGCTGTCGCCGAAGCTGCTAGCCCTCACGAAGGAGAAGGGGTTTGAAGCGGCTCACAAGGCCTTCATGCAAACGTACCATACGACCACAGCCGCCAAGGGTACCGGTCGAGCTCAGTGCGGATTGAAACCGGTCGAGCTCATGGACCAAGCCAGAGAAGCCCTCCGGGAGTTTGTGCCGTTCAGAAGTAATGTCGTCACAACCGAGCACATCCCTAACCTGGACATGGTGTCGATGTTCGGGTGCCTGGCGGGGATGTACTTTGTGTCTTCGGAGTACGAGGGAACAGGCCAGCTCCGGTACATCCTCGGAGGTACGAAAGACACATATGCGTGCAGCCTCAAAGACATCCAGGCCGCCATGCTGAATCTAGGGCTCGAGAAAGACGGCAAGAAATCATCGGATGCGGACGTCTACAAGTTTTACAGGCACCTCACTGAGGAACAGGCCGGGGCTTTTGTGGGGTCTTTAGTATACTTGAAGCTGTCAAGCTGGGCTAAGGCAACAGTTGAGGGTACAATTGTGGGGGGTGCAAATCTCAATTAGCGAGGGAACTTAGGAGCCTTTCTGGGGGAGCTTGCATGGGTGGCTGGGTGGACGGTGGTGTTCTGCGTGGGGTGGGGACTGTTGTGTAGAACAGATCTAAACTGTGCGGATCCTCCAACAATGCACCCCTGATTTATTTTCAGGTGTCGAAGAGCGGCCTCACCGTGTACAAGCTGGCTGTGCGCCAGGGAGATGCATACTACCTTCCTTCCGGGTGGGTGATGGGAGACATCTGCGGTGATGAGGCGTGCGTTGGCCTTCGTTTGACGACCATTGCAGACCGCGACATTGTCCAGGAGAAGAACATGGAAGCGATGATCGAAATTCAGGATCAGGCGAATTCCAAGCACCTGGGGAACATGAAGAAGATCGTCGAAGTCCTGAACAAGCACAGCAACGGAGCCTGAGCCCTCATTCAGGTATCATCTTCAGGAAGATTTTGCCCACGCAGAGGCATTATCCTGTTCTGTTGCATTCGGCACTTCCCGCCAGCACAGTGTCATGACCCTTCGTCCAGCTTTTAGGGTCCTCTTTTCCATGGGAAGCGTTCGCTGCTGTTGGCAGTGACTGCCGGATGTCTCTCAGCAGACCTTTGCGAGCTTTGTGAAGCCACTTCTTTCAAAATTTCAACTTTCCAAAACAGCGGGCTGTCACCATTGAAAGCAAGAAAGAGATTGCAGGGCACGAGCTTGATTCCGTGTGTGCGAGCTTCTTGTCATATGGGGTATCATGCAGACCAACCAGGTATTCTCATGGACACTTGATGTTGCAGACAGCCAGGACATTGCGTGGTGTTCTCTAAGTGTCGCTGTGCGTGCAGGTCCATTCCGCATCGAGTTCATCGGACTTGGTGGTTGCTCGTTTGCTTGATCGGCTTGGCCCATGGTGACTTGGATCATCATGCACTTGACCACTGTTGGTGCTTGGCACTGCGATGAGATGAGATGGAATCTTGTGTTGATTGCTTGGCTTGGCTGCATCGCTTTCATGTGTTGCTCATCGCTGTTCTTGTGCACCACACTGGGCTTGCTCCAACGGTTATGAAAATGTGTGGTGCATCTTGCGGCCGGGGCCTCAGATTCAGATTTCATCATTGAGCGATCCACTTGAATCTGCCTCTGCGCTTGACCTCAGTTTTTGGTTCGGGTCCTCGGGTAGCTCGACTCACCTCGACTCTTGTGTCAGTGACGGCCACAGGATGCCAGTCAAGCGAATGCCGGCGAGACATGACAGCAGCCTCCCAGAGGGTCCTCGCACAGTACAGGAGATGTTGGACTGGCCAACGAGGGCAATAGCTGCTATGCGTGACATTGGTCAATTCGAGACCTGGTTGAGCAATCTCCGTGGTGGGTTGATCGTGGGGACTCATTTCTCAGGTCTCTTGACTGCAGAACTGGCTTTGGAGCAGCTGGTACATGCAACCGCAGACGTTCTTGAAAGAAATGGCCAAACTTCGGAGTCGGAGCAGCTGCATGGGAGACTTATGAGTGCCTGGACTTGTGACAAACTTCCGGAGAGTCAAGACTTCGCAATGTCATGGCCGAAGTCGAGATACTGGCACGATGCTGGTGGGTGCTGCTTCGGCGACATCTTCGACAGCTCCTCAGATGAGATGATTGAGAAGTTCAACTTTGTTGATCGTGCCAAGGAGGAGGGCCGGGGCCGACATGCTGTGCAGGACACGCAGACGTACATGTTTCGCCATGTTCGTGAGATCGTCGAGGAGTCAGCATGCTTTCGGCACAGGAAGTGCTGCAAGTCGCTTGGCTATAGAGAGCATTAACTTGGGGTCGTGTGCTTAGGCAGGTAAGACATGCTGCGTGTGCTGTGAATGACATTCCTACTGCTCTTGTTCTGTTGCCCAAGGTCGCATGAGTACACCCCTCCGGAAGACTTCCACGACCCTGTGACCATTGAGGTGGCAGGAACTCCATGTGTTGGTTGGTCCATCTTGGGAAAGCGTGAAGGTGTCCTTCATGACAGTCACCTCGCCTTCCTGGCGTGGGCGGCAAAGACGAGACTTGCGTCGCCTATGATCATCGTCCACGAGTGTACAGCTGCCTTCCCAGTGAGCCTCCTTGAATACTGGTTCGACGACATGTATGAGTTGTACTCCATGATATTGGATCCCCTGTGGATGGGTCACTCAACCCAGCGACCCAACCGTCGCTTCACATGGCTCATTCGCAAGGATTGCCGATTCACAGGCAGTGCGGAGGAGTTCAATGAGATGTTCGCAGCACGGACAACGATGTTGGCAGATGCATTTTTCTGTGCACCCAGCGATGTTCTTCAAGAAGGCCTGAACGTAATTGCCCAGTCCCGTGGGTTCGCGCCTCAGGAAGTATCGAGGGTCAAAGATTGGTCGATCTACTACCCTCCCGGCACTCGTGAGCGAATGGATGGCCACCTGAGGATGTGGATGAAGAAGCGATCACCGGACATGTTGGACTCACCGCGAATCCGAGCTCGAAGGAAGGTTTCAGCTGAGGCATTGAACATGAAGTACATCAAGCATTACCCCATCATCGCGGACTTGGATCAGAATCCGGGCTATGGGCCCACAGCGTCCTTGCAATGCCCAACATTGGTGAGCCATGGCACCCTGCACAATTTCTTCCGAAAGCGCTGCATGGTTGGAGAAGAGCACCTGCTCAGCATGGGTTTTCCTATCTTCGACGAGGACTGCTTCTTGAAGTCTGTCGTGGGCAATGTCATGAGCAAGCGGATGATGAAGCAAATGGCTGGCAACGCGATGTACTTGCCGTTGATTGGCATCCAGCTTCTCTATCTCATCAGCCACCTGGACAAGACGAACGGCGACAACGGTTGCAAGCTCAGGCGAATGGGTCGCCTGGCCAGCACCTTGTCGTTCAGCTCCGGGGGGGGCATGGGCTCGCCCGGTCACTCTTCGACTACTTGGACGACTCCTGAGAAGTCTAGGTCAAGTCGTGATGTGTGAGTGTCGCGATGCGAGTGTAGAAGATTGTAGAAGCTCAGCCAGTGTAGCAGTGTAGCCACGTTTCATGTCTTTTAAAGAAGTTTGAACATGGCTGCAGTTTTGGATTGGAGGCGGTTGCAAAGATGCAAAACAAGGCGTTTCAGTTGGCTTCTGCGGCATTGGTCTAGCCAGTCAGGTGTTGCACGAAATCGCTTGGAGCACCTACCTTGTCGGCAGCTTGTCGGGCACCGGGAATTGCATCCAGTTGTGACATTGACAGTGCGTGCCATTTCCTTTGTTGCAGTCTCGCCATGTGTGCAGGCTTGTGGCAGCATCCTTAGTACTGGCATTATTGGCAACTTGTGGACTTATGTGGTTGCTACATTGCTTGCTTGATTTGGTCGACACAGGGTGGTCTCCATTACGTGCCGCTATGTTGCGGGACACTGCTTGATTGATTATTTTCATATTGTTGCTGGACACTGGACATTGGTCGCTGTTCGCTATGGCCCGTTGTTGACCTTGTCGGAACATGATGACACACCGTGACCATACAGACATACAGAGCCAGAAGAATATGGCAGTATGCCGTGATGGCTGTCAGCTTCACGGAAAAGTCTGAGGATCTTTTACTTGCGGTTTGGTTGAGCGTTCTTTTCTTGGATCGCCTTGCTCGGCTCCTGTACTACTGAAGTGAGGTCCTGTACTTCATGATCATGATGATGACAATGCGAGTCGGGTGCAAAAGTTGTGCCGGATGCTGTTTTCTGTTTGGGTCTTCATTAACTTCAGTATCAACAGTTACAGCGCTTAGGAGTCTCCGGTTCAGATTTCTGCTTTTAATGTCGCGAATTGAGGCCTTTAGCCCCCAAAGTCCACATCAGCACGCCTTTGCAAGACTGGTTCCAACAAGCAACAACACCCGGGTTATGGGAATAGGGGAATCTGTCTGATAGTTGGATACATCTCCATAACGGCCAGAAGGGCTGGCAGCAGTCATCCGTGCCAAAGCTTCGGGCTTGCCGCCCGTTTACCCATCCCAGATAGGCCCCCGGTAGGAATAGCCACCTCACCTACGAAACTGGTGAGAAGCAAGAAGTGATAAGCGAGGATTGGCATGCAGAAGACGGGACCAAACCCATGACTGCAATGTGGACTGGTAAAACCGTGTTCTTCCTCAAAGACCCTGTCCCTGCTGCATCCGTGAAACCGGAGGCTACAACGGCGGCCGCAGGAACTGCTGCCCCGCTGAATGCAGCCCGTGCAGCGGTAACGCGCCGGGATACAAGTTCGGAATCAGGGGGGTGTTCTATCAGTCAAGACAAGTTGTCAGGTTATGGAAGGTTCTACGAATTCTGCCGTACGCCCAGTTCCAACTTGAGTGTTGTTGGCGAGTCTCTCGGACTCTCGTACGTCCGCCTTGCACATGAGCATGCAAGCATGCTTGACACGAATAATGTCAACCAGTTGTTGCAGCAACTCGCGGAGAGTGAAGGTGTAGACCTGTGGGGTTCACTTCCTTGCTTACCTTGGAGCCATTGGAATCGGCTGAACAGTTGGCGCCTTGGTCCAAAGTCCCGCACCAGACTCACGTGCAAGCAAGATGAGTCCAGAAGGTTGGTGAGAGTTTTCATTCTTGCTGCAAGGATCGTTCTGCGGAATCATGGTCGGGTTCACTTCGAATGGCCGGAAACATGTGCAGGTTGGCAGCTTGACGAGCTCCAAGGTTTCATTCACGAAGCCGGATTGCACCTTTGCACCACCAACGCGAATGCCTTTGGATCTACCGGCAAAAGGTCGTGGACGATCGCCACGTCCTGCAAAAGACTTGCCGAAGCCATCAACCTCAAGAGAAGTATGAGTGACAAGACAAGTCATCATATCTCCGATCTTGAGTCTCGCATTGCAAAATCCGCGCGATATCCACTGCCCATGTGTTCGCTTGTTATGCAGCACTTGTTTCCGGACAAGTTCCACGCGTCAGTTCCGGCCATGCCTTGTCACACCTTTGTCCAGCATGAACATGTCAACAAAGAGGTACCGATGCCTCACGTGTTTAGCGCAATCCATCAACTCATTGAGCGCCGAGAATGGATCAAAGATCCAGCTGCGCTAGCAGAGGCTAAGAAGGAGGCCGAAGGATTGATAGCAGAAGGGACTTGGAATTACGACGAAGTGATTCCTCGAAGTGAACTTGTTGCAGAAGCTAGAGAAAGCGGAAAGAAAATACACATAGGACAGTTGATGACAATCATGTCTTGGAAACATGCGGAAAATCCTGACTTGAAGAAACTGAAAGCCAGAATAGTGTTTCGTGGAGACAATGTGAGAGACGAATGTGGAGAGTACGCCATCTTCCAAGAGATCCGAGTTACGCCCACTGCAATCAGCGGTGTAAACTTGAATCTCATGTACGGGTGCCTTAAAGATCACATGACAACCCAGTCAGACGTGATCAAAGCCTATGTTCAAAGTTGGCTCCAAACTCAGCATCCCACTTTCGTTGAGCTTCCGCCAGAGCTAGTGCCGCCGCAGTTCGCACACATCCACCGTCCATGTGTAAGACTGTACAAAAGCTTGTACGGGCACCCCGAATCGGGAGGGCACTGGGCGAGGAAATTTGCTTCTGTCGCAAAGGCCCTAGGAGGGGTTGAATCGTCCACGCATCCAAGCTCCTTCTGGTTTGCAAAAGAACGACTACTCCTAACCTTGTACGTTGACGACATGATTGTCAGCGGACCAAGTGATCAGCACAAAGGGTTTTGGAACAAAATGAAGACGATGTTAAACATCGAGGACCCCACTCCGGTTTCAAGGGTATTAGGTAGGGAGCATCTTGTAAACAGGAGCCTCGCAGAGACTTCAGTAGAGTACGACATGAGCGACTTTGCAGAGTCTGCTTGTGAAACGTACCTGAAGCTCGCAGGAGGCATCGCCTTAAAGAATGCCCCCACGCCTTTTCTGGTAGACTCCGCGCTCCCTGAACAGGGTTGGCAAGTAAAAGGAGCTCTATCAGAACACGCCGCCAAGGTACTCATGAAGTGCCTTTGGCTTGCCCGCTTGTCACGCCCTGACCTCCTCCGTCCAATTACGGAGTTGAGCCGACGCATAACGCGCTGGTCGTCCAACGACGACCGCAAATTGTACAGGCTAATGTGCTTTATATCCTCTAGTAAAAGCTACCGGATGAGAAGCTACATAGGGGATCCTACCGATAAGCTTGAACTGGTCCTCTACACCGATGCGGATCATGGAGGTTCAATAGAGCACGGGTATAGCACATCAGGGGGGCTGTTGGCAGTGCAAGGGCCACGGAGTTGGTTTCCGATCAGTTGGCTTTCGAAACGTCAGACTGCTGTAAGCAGAAGCACGACAGAAGCCGAAGCAATTAGCTTAGCTACAGGTCTGTTTGACGAGGGTCTCCCAAACCAAGAGTTCCTCTCGCGAATTCTGGGGCGCAGTGTCTTATTGCGTTGCAAGCAGGACAATACTGCGACCATACAGGTCATCCGTAATGGCTACTCCCCGCGCCTACGACACGTGAGCAAAACTCATAAAATCGACCTAAACGGTCTTTATGATGCTTTCCGTGAGGCCGACACAGTGTTGGAGCATGTCAGGACCGATGCTCAAGCAGCAGATGTGTTCACCAAAAGCCTTCCAGGGCCTAAATGGTTGCCAGCTCTGCGAATGCTTGGCATCAACCCAGCCGCCCAACCTGTGCAGCGGTGACGCGCCAGGATAGGTGATTTTCCCTAAGTGGTTGCATGTCAGCACCCAAGCACAGAAGCACCGCTGGAGCTTCGTGAGCACTTTGACCATTGGGATGATGTGCTCCGATGTTCGCGTTGCTGGAATCAGAAGAGCCCGATTCCTGGGTGAATTTATGTAGGTCTTAGGTCCCTTGTAAACTTTCATTGTGACTGTAGGGCTGTCGAACAGCGATGCTTTTGTACAGACTCCCAAGGCGCCCCGAAATACACGGGAGCATGCAAATCCATCGCCACCTTGTAGCCGTAGCAATACAGCTACACTTTGCAAACTGGTGATCTGTAAAGTAGGCTCTTAACCGATGGTGACTCGCCTAAGGGGGGAGCAGAAATCACCAGGGAAACACAGTAGGACAGCATGCACTTGTACAGATGTGCATGCTAACTACAACATTTGGCTCAAGATAAAAAGGTGCCCTTGTGAGTTGGGGTTTCCTTTGTCTTGATTGCTTCAATAAGCACGGCTAAAACTGATTCTAACGGAATCTTTGGTTGGCTTGAAGTTTTGGGGGTTTTAGGGTTTTTAAAGCTGCTTTCTTAAGGGATCCGCGAAGGGATGTCTAGGGGTCCTTTAGGGGATCCTTTTGAGGAGATCCTTTGGGGGGATCCTTTTAAGGGATCCCTTTTTCAAAGGATTTCTTTAAGGATTCTTTAAAAGGATAATTTTGAGGCTCCTATTAATAGGGTTCCTTTCAAGCGATCCTTTAAGGGATTGCGTAGGGGTTCCTGTAAATTCAAGGTTCCCTCAAAGGCTAGTTTCGTTAGGATACGGTGCTTCGCATCGTGCCATGCATGTTGTTTGCAATCTTGAGCAGGGTTTTGGAAGTTGGGGTATGTTCCCCGCTAAGCTGGGCTTTGGAGTACGATACATCACCACTTTTCCTTAACAAGAGTTTATACATTTTCTCCATGGTTACTTAAAAGGTTTAACAAAAGCCCAGTAAAAGCAAGGAGATTCTGAAAGAGTAAGCTTCCCTTTCGTCGATTACAGTACCGGGGGAGAACAGGTTTGGCAAGGAATGGTGCAAGCAACGCATGGTTTTTTGAAACGTTAACCACTAGCAATAGGAATTCGTTCAAAGGGGTTTCGAGGGCGCACATAGATGGTTTTGAGCCGTTAGGTTGTTGGGAGCTTGGCTAGACTATAATCCCTTCGCTCTAAGTTACCGTGTCATTTTCGTTCTCTGCCTGTCGTCCCTGCGAGCTCGTTACACCCAAACTGGGCCTTTACTTCAAAGGCTTGCGTTTACC